AATCAGCTTTCGAGCCCTTGTCTACACCGTCTTCATCATTGACACGATACAGACTATCATGATCACATATGATGCGTTCCAGGCCTTTGCATACGGGTACGGGGACCTGGACAAACTCGGTCGGATCGGTCTATTCTGGTTCGACCTATGTTTTTGTGATGGGATAAGTGCGATGATTTGTGCTCTCCAATGAATGTCCTGCTCACTTGTTTCCCGAAGTTGCTTTCCTGGTCCAAACGTTTTACGCTTACCGGATCCGACTTCTCTCCGATTCAAAGATCCTACTCCCTGGGGCAATATTCATCGTGAGTGGTAGTTGCTGTTGGAGTGAATGAGTCCCGGCTCACGCGACACGCCCTCTAGGCCGCGTTCGTTCAAATGACCGGGGCAATCACTGCAGGAGGTCTTGCGCTGGGCATAACGTACCTCTCCGAGCTCCGAGACCGTTGTTTCGTAGGAAGTACCGTAAGTTATTGCCGCATCCGAGTCTGAAATCAAAGCAGTAACCTCAATCAATGTTCTCCTTTCCCAGATGTGGCTAGCAGGGAGCGCGTTTTGTGACATCCTCATCGCGGTATCTATGGCTTGGGTGGTAAGTAACCTCCGATACTCTACAGTCATCACCGCATCTTACTCGTTCGCGTGTGCGGTCAACCCACGTAGCTTTCTCGGGCAAACTCCTCCTACAAGGAGACTCAAGATCTGATTCGGCGCATCATCATTTTGACCATGGAGACTGGAACGCTGACAGGTAATCTCCACCGAACTCCACGCTTTGTTTGTTTGTCGAGCACTCAACGGATCTTTTTTATGTTTTCTTTGATGTGCACAGCTCTAGCAGCCACCGCAGATCTCATCATTTTCCTGGGGTTCCCACAACTGGACGTTCACATCACGTTTACTCTTAGTCTTGCTAAGCTGTACTCCAACTCTCTTCTCGTCGCTCTAAATACGCGCGTCAGGATTCCCGGATCTCGGGGATACAAACCAAACTCGGCGTTTGTCTCTAATGGGAGTGATGGGAACTTCAACTCGATTAGTTTGAACAGTATGAGTCGGAGCCGATGGGATGCGAGGACTGGTGAGGGAGCTCGTGGCGAAGACGCACCCCCGACCATTGTAATCACGCAACAGTCGATAACTTGGGACGACTCGCCTAGTGGTACCGGTGATCATGTGGAGGTATGACGAACCATCTCCCTCGTGCGCGTTTAAACGACATGAATGATTGACTCTTCTGAGCAGAATACGAACAAAGGATCTTTCGTCGATCTGGCATGATGCGCGAATTCGTCTGAGTTCGGACTGTATTTCTTACGTTTCGATATATGTATGTGAACCTGTATTGCAGTCTTTCGAACTATTATGAACGGAATAAGATAATGGGGTAATAGGGTATCAACTCCAAGAAATGCAAAAGAGGGAGCCACGGCATGCGATAAGGTCTCGGGCTCAGCCTGAGACAGCCCCTTCAATAATAGCGCCGGTGGCCATACCCGTAACCATATCCAGTCCTTCGTGTGGGGCCATCATAATCTGGGGTATCGAACGTCAGGTCCGCAGTCTTTGAGTCATCGAAGCGAGTTCGAACTTACAGCTAGACGTGTCCCGCACAGGACTAACACCTTCTAACCCAGCTGCACCAGCCAAATTGACATAACCTTCCTGTGTCTGGCTTGGGGTTGGTCTTGCGCTACGCTCAGGCGCGGCTAGATATGGAGCAGTTTAGAACCTTTAGGACGGATGGGCAGCTGAGAAGCGAAGAGGCCTTACCGTCCCAGGATGCACGACACCATGCACAGATGAGCTGGGAATCGGGTTGTTCTCCAAGGTATAAGGTATCTGCGGAAGGTTTGCATATTTAGTGACGAACTTGGAGAGACGACGTATGGTCATCTCACATCCATCCCAACACTCGATATGTACCGCACTTCCACATTGCTTGCACCATTCCAAGCAATCGGCGAGAGCCTGTACGGTCGGTTTGCTTGGGTCGTGCATAGTTTCGTGGCAGATGGGACAGTTGTCCTCAGGCGCGGGAACTCGTTGTTCTAAGATGAAGTAATGCATAAGACGAGCGAAGAACGAGCGAAGAAGACTCACTTGGTTGACCCGTAGCTTCCTTCCATGCTTCGACAGCTTTTTGGTTCGCCAGGGCTGCCTGTGGCGAAGGTGGTGCGTTGTCAAAAACCTCCTCAAGTTCGGAGGTCAAGAGGGCCCTGTTGGTATGGGAGTCCAAGATTAGAGTGGGTGGTAACCAGGACATGAACGAGAGGCAGAAAAGGCAAGACATGGATGCCAAGACGAGGAAACGGCAAACGCCCCGTTGTTTTTAAGCGACCTGTCCACAGGTGAAGGGATAGAGCCACTAAACGGCCATAAACAGTCATTTCCGATGCTTACTAAAGCGTCCGAAGCCGCAAACAAGCATTGTACGAATGAAATAGAAGGTGTAGATTACGCACTTCTGATACCAGTGTCCCGACGATCTATCGACCTGAAGGATCCTCATGAAAACGAAAAGCTATGCAAGGCGATAGAACGGTCAATCAGCTCAATGTGGATGTGGCTCGAGGTTACGCACGACATGTTTGCAGTGGTTTCCCTTGAGGTTGTCGGGGCAGTTGCAGCGAGGAGTGTGATCAATGGTGACAGTGTAGACCTGCAACAAAGCTCTTTTAAGATCAAGCTTTGACAATGAAGGCGGAGATTTGACCCACGTTCCCCGTCGATCCAGATACTGTAAAAACTTCTCTAAGTGCGCCCATTTCGCGTTTTCGATCGAACAAGTATAATCTACGCAGGAATTGCCGCGTAATGAGCGAAAATAAATGAGTAAAACACGACATCTTGGGATGTTAGAGCTACTCACCTTTGTTGCATCGCTCTTTCCAACCTATCAGAAACCGCGTTCGGACAAAAGCCTCTGTAGCGAGCCTGCCTCTTCTCCTTCGGTGCCTTTGCCTTGCGTTTCACTGGCGATGCTTGCGGCAGAGAACTCCCCATAGCACCGCAGGTCGGCGATGCCACTGGTAGAGTCGAATAGTCTGAACCCCCATAGTTGTAACCAAGTGTTGGATTGAGGTAAGCACCGGTTGTGTCAATTCCAGAGTTATATGTGTCGTCGAATGCTCGTCCGTAGCCGCGATTCATCGTGTTGTGGGGGAGTGGTGGTGAGGGATAAAAAGCAACGTTGGAAAATGAGAAAAGCCCAAGCCAAACCGGCCCGCTTAATTGCCGCAGAACTTGCCGCCTTTGCGCTACATCGGCAGTTCCAGGTTCTGAGTTCTTTTCCGCACCACCATCATAAATCCCTCTGCATCGTCACCTCGAGAATCCCCCTGTCTTGTTCAATCGATTATAGAACACTACAGAGCCAAAGATGAAAATAAATGGTTTCCTGAAGGTCTTCAGAGTACCGTATATCACTGGATCAGAAATTAGATCTGGTTGTATTGTACCGATACTACTAGGTTCAACTGACATTCGCATACATAAATGGCTAGAAGAACTCCTTCGAAAATGACTGGGTCACCGATTCGATGGTACCAGAGTTGATCATGTTCTGATACTCCTGTGAGAGGGAAGCGCCGAGTAGGTGAGTCTAGATTCCCGACTCCCGACTCCCGTAACTAAATGGCTAGCTTACCTGTGTAGCCATATGGAACTCCCAGGCCTTCTTGTTGGTATACCTACACATCGACAAACATGGTGAGAAAATCGTCTCACGAAAACAAGCCTTCGCTTACTCCTCGATAATTGTGAACTTGTTGCTCTCATCGCCGAATCCACGAGCCACACGGTAGCTGGAATGAAAATTTCAGTACCCGTAAGAGGAAAGGTCTAGCGTTGGGACACGCACGTCAACGTCTCAGGCTCCAACTGCGAATTGGTACTGTGCGCCCGAAGAGGAGAGACAAATTTCTGGAGTTCGTCTGCCTTGCCATCCTTCGCGACAGCTTCAACCGTGATTATGAATTTACCGTTGTAGTTGTCGGGGAGATCGCGACTCTCCAGAGGGGCGGCGTAAGCGAGTCCGCTGCAGGCGAGAAGGGCGAGAGGGATCAACTTGGAGAACATCGCGATCGGAGGGGGGGGCGAGAGCACAGTGAGTTGCGAGCCTTATAGTTAGAGTGGGTTTATATAGGTCCCAAACGTTGTACCTGAGATGGATTCCTCTATTGGTGATATGCCTGAACCCATTGAGACCAATGAATTGCGCAGTGCGCGGTCATGGAAGCTAAGTAAGTACTATGCTGAGCCGGATAGATCCCTCCCACACTTATTGAAAGGTGAAACGAAGCGCGGGTAAAATAGAAGTCATCTGGAGGTTGTACTCGATAGCAACAAATGCAACGGGGATCCTCATGTGTCCGTCCTCCATTTCCTACCCGAGCCCGCGGGGAAAGCTAGGGCGATGGGCAATGGTTTATTTATACACTCAACTTATTCTTCGTATGTGCAGCCGGTCTAGTGGCTGACTCGGAATGAGCTACCATCGTGATATATGGTGGATCACCCCTCCTGGCGTGTCAGTTCCGAACGACGCCAACCTCAACGATTAGTCAAGCGTAAGTCACAGATTGAGCGAACCCAGAAGAACGATCCGATACCTATACTTGCATTTGGGTTCAAAGGGTACGTAGGAAGAAATAAGTCGCCGACTCGAACTCAGGACCCATCAAATTCCTACTCGCGCCGGATGGCTGGACTGCGCTCGACCTTTCAGGAGGCTTGCTACCCCGACCTACACTCGGACTGGGTACAAGCAACAGAGCCGACTTTGAATTCCTTACGCTTGGATCGTGCCTCCGCCACTCAAGGATGAATGTGGATTATCTTTGACCAGACGAACTTTCTCTGGAGTTTCATAATAGTGCCTTGTTGAGGGCCGGGGAATCTAGAATTTGGGGATAAGGACAGGTTAGCACAGACGCCATGTCGATCGATTGTCATTGCAACGATAATGTTGATATAATCTGTAAGCGCAAAACCAACAAGCCGGTTTAGCTTAGTGGTAGAGCGTTGCACTTGTATTGGCTTGATTTGCTACAATTGTACAATGCAAAGGTCGGTTGTTCAATCCAGCCAACCGGCATGTCTTTTTTTCGGAACCTCAACGTCCTCTTTCTTGATCTGATGCTAAGTCCAACGTCACGCAGATTCTTAGGCATCGCTCGAAAAGATTGTAAAAGGTATGCATAGTGCAAATCAAGATGACATCCTACTATACCCGGGTATAAAAGTACATATATCCTATTATACAACATGCGAAAATCGAGTCTAACCTAATGAGAACATGAACGTGAGGGGATGTGCTGATTTACCACCAGTCACCCTGCTCCTTCATAGCATCGGCAACCTTGATGAAGCCAGCAACGTTCGCCCCACTGAGCAAACTGGGCAGTGTTCCCTCAACGAGCTCTTCACCCGACCACTTGCTTCCAACACTGTAGCAAATCTAGAAGGCAAAACGACCATTAATACCAAGCTCCCCACCAACATCGTAGAAAGAAACATCACATACGTTGTAACACTCCGTCATAATACCCTTCAACTTGGCATCAACCTCCTCGTGCGTCCAGTTGAGCCTCGCGCTGTTCTGCGCCATCTCCAACCCAGAAACAGCGACACCACCACAGTTGGATGCTTTACCCGGTGCGTACCAGAGACCCTTGCCTTTGCCCTCCTTCCTCGACTTTTCGAAAGCTTCGACGGCTTCGAGCGTGCATCCCATGTTGGAACCTTCAGCGACGATTCTCGTACCGGCGGCGATGAGTGCCTCGGCTTCGTCACCGGAGACTTCGTTTTGGGTGGCACCTGGGAGGGCGATGTGGACTTTGGGGAGGAGTTTCCATGGGCGTTGGCCTAGATGAGCTGGTGTTAGCATTGTCGAACGTAAGGGGGAAGTGGAAGACGAGGAACGTACCAGCATGGTAGGAGTACTCCGATTCGGATGCGAAGTCTTTGAAAGACTCGAGGGAACCACCCTTCAATTTGAGGTCGGCGATCTTTAGGACGACTTCCTTCGAGAAACCTTTGTCGGTGGTGGCGATCAGGGAGCCTTTGGAATCGGAGAGGGACACGACGGTGGCGCCGAGCTCGATGACTTTGAGGGCGGTGAATTGAGAGACGTTGCCGGATCCAGAGATAGCAACGAGGGTGGATTTGTTGTTGAGGCTGTATTCGGGGCAGGCTTTGGCAATCATCTACGACAACGAAAATGAGCTCGAGGATGACGAAAGTATGAGATGAAGGGCGACGTACGTGCTCGACATAGTAGATGACACCGTAGCCAGTCGCCTCAGGACGGATATGGCTTCCTCCCCAGTGAAGACCCTTGCCGGTGAGGACACCAGTGAACTCGTTCCTTAGCTTCTTGTAGGCACCGAACAAGAAACCAATCTCCCGTCCACCAGTTCCGATATCGCCAGCTAAAGAAATACTATCAGAAAGACGATGCTAGTTTTCATGTGGATGTTACTCACCAGGAACATCGGTATCCTGTCCAATGTGTTTTGACAACTCTGTCATGAACGAAACGCAGAACCGTCTGATCTCCGAGTCCGATTTGCCCTTGGGATCAAAGTCTGATCCACCCTTTCCACCACCCATGTTCAAACCGGTCAACGCATTCTTGAAAGTTTGCTCAAAACCAAGGAACTTGAGGATAGAGAGGTTGACGGAAGGGTGAAGTCGGAGACCACCCTTGTAGGGACCGAGAGCGGAGTTGTACTATAGGAATTTTTTCAATCACACGACTCTATGAACGAATGAACGAATTCAAGGATGCCGACATACCTGAACTCGGAACCCACGGTTAACCTGAGTGCGACCCTGGTCATCTTCCCAAATTACTCGGAATTGGATGACGCGCTCGGGGATCTGAACGATATCGAAAGCCTTTTGGTATTGGGGGTTGGACTTCAAGAAGGGCTGAAGACTGGTGGTGAGCTCAGCGAGTGCTTGCTCGAATTCGGGCTCGTGAGGAAGGACCATTGTGTGTTTGTGAGGGGATTGGTTGAGTAGTGTGAAGATGAGGACTCAGGAGGACGAGGAGCCATCCTGGCTCAAGGTGAGCTCTTATACCCTGCAGAAAGAGACGAATTTCATTACCACGGAGTACAGAATTCCCGTAAAACCGCCGCGAAACTAACCTGGAACTGGTGGGTACCATGCTTAGCGGGATGGCCGGAGGGCCCCTCCTGACGTTCGGCCGATCGGTCCTGTCCCCCGAATTTGATATCGGAGTTTGCCGAAAGTCGCGTCTCGCGACGCGTTTGCCGGTCAAAGCTGGTCAAAGCTGGATATGCGGTCAATCAAACAAAGATTAACATCTCCTGAATGAAAGAACGATAAGATAGTGCAAGGATAAGATTAAAAAAACACGCAAACAGACCGAGAACGATGGTTTCAAAGTTCGGGAACGGATTTCACACCTTATCTCTACAATTTGCGCCACGGATGGACATTCCTTATCTCGTATCTCGACGACGCGCGTTTCTCCGACGTTCCTTATCTCCCTCCACAAACTTCCGACGGAGACACTGATAAGTCATTATCCATCGATAATCCCTGCCTTGGTACTCGAATTTCGACTGGATTTGGCAGAGAGCTAATGTTTTCGAGCTCCCAAGCCAGGAGGGTGATTATCACAGAGGGGGGAGGGACAATTTCTGAGTATTGCTCGGAGGACGGTTGGGCCGGGCCGGACAAGGAAGATAAGGATTTGTTGTGGACCCCGGCCGTTCACCACTTGGAAAGCAGGTCAAGCGGCAATGATTATCAGAGCTAGAGACAGTGCGGCACGGAAATGAATGGGTCTGGACACCGCGAAGGAAAATGGGTAAAGGAACATTGATTGAAGTCGGGAAACGAACCGGGATAGAATACTGCATTACGAGGGCCTGACCTGTTGACGATTTTGGGTCCAGTCTATTCGTGTTCACAATTGCTGAGGAATCCAGAAGCAGTGTCGTTCTAGAGGAGCCCATGAGCTTGACTTTTTGTGGCAAGAATCTTCCCCACACGATGACGATGTGGCAAATTGAAATTGGCATTGTCGAATATTCTGTCCTCCATAGAGCTTGAGAGGCAGTCTAGAGTCGGCCGTAAGTGATTCAAACAGCTTCGAATGTGAATAGCTGGTCGGCAAGCGTTGATAACATTCTCGGGCAATGCCACGTCGACACGCTAGAAGGGGCCTGTACGGACATGGGTGGATCAGGAGGACGGAACTCCTGTTGAACAGAATACAAACTTACCGTTCACCATCCCTCGAGTCAACTCCCTATAGCAGATACACAGACTAGTGCATGACTTCGACTGAAGGCCTCGGTGACAGCGCCGCAGAGTACCGAAGGGTGGCAGCATGAGGCTGAGAAGAGGACAGGACACTGGTGGTTAATGGTCCGCCATGACCTTTGAAGAGATGAAGAGACAGATGAGTTTTGCGAGTTGGACTCCGGGCCTGACAAAAGAATCTAGCAGATCAGGCGGTAGGTGAGGTCAAGCAAAAGTCAAGAGAAGGTCAGAGTTTAAACTTAGTATCCTTATCAACCGCGGGAAACTGTCGGCAAACTCCGAAACGCCTCTCCTCGGTCGTAAGCTTTAATCGCTCGTTGAGGAAGTTTAAATGGGTATGTATATTGAGATAAGCTGAAGCACTGCGGGCTTTACTAAGAACTCGACAAACCTTCAAACCCGAAAAAATGAGCACCTGAGTTGCGAAGTCAAATCCAGACATGGGCGCCTTTTCCATCTGATTCTCAAAACCCCATCGTAGTCGTTCTTGACGGCACGTTCTGTAGTCAAAAAAAAAGTTTCTCCAGTCAGGTACTCACCCGTTGACATTTATCTACACTACAAACGGGTTTCTAGCATCGTTCCTAGGCGTAAGTATTCGTTGGGTATTTCTATAACAAACAATGTCCGGCGAGAGCGTCACTTTCTTTCTTTCTCCTCGTCCTCTCTCTTATCATCGAACGCTCTTGCCTGTACGTTATACATCTTGTAGTATTCTCCTTGCTTCTCCATCAGTTCCGTGTGGGACCCATGTTCGAAGAGTTTTCCGTCCTTCATGCAACTAGAACAGTCTCAGTTATTCAGGCACATTTCGGTCAGGGATACTCAGAGGATATAACATACATTATACGGTCCGCGTACTTGGTTATCGGTCCGAAGCGATGAGTGACGAATAGCATAGTTTTCCCTTCCCTCGCTTCCCGAAGATGATTGAACAGGTCTTCTTCCCCCCGAGGGTCGAGTGCAGAACTAGGCTCGTCCACTGCCACGAATTTGACCTTTTCTGAGTTGAACCGCATGAAAGTACGAGCTCTGTGAACAGGTACATCAGTTCCACGCGGGCCCTGTACACGATTCCAAAATTATCACGCACGCCACCAGTCGTTGTCGCTCGCCCCCTGGAATCAGATTAACAAGAGTGGAACACAAAAAATGATAATTCATCCCCTTACCAGAAACATTACTCGACTTGTCGAGTTTCTTCGCCTCCTTCGCTAACGCGCTATCCTTCTTTGACTCGTCCACCAGAGCATGATACTGCGTCCCCGCAGGATCCAGAATGGTGTCCAACCCAGAATCCAATTTCTTCAGGATTCCCTCGCACCCTCCTTTCTTCGCCGCTTCCAAAATCTTCTCCTTGTCGGAGACGTACTCTGGGCACCCAAGACCTATATTCTCCGCCAACGTGAGTGGGAGAAGGTGGTGATCTTGAGTGAGCGTGGCTACGGCCTTTCGGAAGTCGGATTGTTTCAGGCTACGAATGTCGTCTCCGTCGATCAGGATCTCCCCGGAGGAGACATCGTACATCCGTGTGAGAAGGTTGATGAAGGTTGATTTTCCGCTCCCGTTCTCGCCGACGACTACAACGAGTTCGCCGGCGTTGATGCGGAAGGAGACGTCGTCTAGGGCTTTCTTGTCGTTCGTGGAGTCGGCGTCGGCTGGGTATGAGAATACGATGTTCCTGGGAAGTAGGTTAGTGGTCGTTCGGTGGAGGGATGCACCATGCAGCATCATATTACTTTAGCTCAACCGCCATGCCTTTAAGACTCTCCCGCTCGTTTGGGTATGACTTCT